AAATATGAAATACTACGGTTTGTCCAGACCTGAATGAACCTCCGGTGACATTCAGCCATGTGGGCTGGTCTCCGTCTTGCCCCATTTTCGCACGACCGTGGTCAGATGACTCCTCATTGGCTGATCAGACTTTGCTCAAAATGCCTCGGCTCTGATTGGCGGTTGGGTTTAGCCACGTGTTTACCTTCAGCCAATCGGGTTGAGCGTCTGAGAGACGCTACAGGAAGATTGTGTGAGCTACAAACAGTAAGTCCCTAAACACGAGAAGAGCCTCGTCCAGTGTGTTTTAGAATATTTAGGTGGTTTTGTCAGCAAAAAAACATCAGTTTACATTCAGAGCAATGCCCGTGAATAACATGGACAAGCCGAAAATAGTGACATGCACCGCTCCCGTGAATATAGCTGTCATTAAATACTGTAAGTACTTGGTTGGCATTGTTTGGTAGTTTTTAGAGAACTAAATCCTGATATGATCCACAGTAATTTTGCTTTGTGACTTAACATCTCACTAAATAGTTGCCATTAAGGGAAATGATTACTGTTGAGTCTGTTTGCATGTGTCATTGTGTCATGGTGATAGTTGTGCACTGTGTTTAAAACCTACTTACAGGGGGCAAGAGAAATGAAGACTTAATTCTACCCATTAACTCATCTTTGAGTGTCACATTGCATCAAGACCAGGTATTTATTCAAGCAATACATATATATCTATTTTAGGCTATAAACCTGCAGCTTGTGAACTCAAACTGTCTTTGAAAAATATGAAAAATGTAGCTTCAGCATTGGAAGATATCCTTAATTTAGGTGATTCTCGTTATTGAATAAAATGAAGTGACCCTGCTTTCACTGTGCCCGGGTTACGTGAATGTGGTCGGCTTCAAATCTGACATCATGTTATTGATGAGAGAGGTAATGATATAGATCTGTCTTGCATTACTTCTTCTGTTCAGCTCAAAACAACCACAACAGTTGCAACCAGCAGATCATTTCCAGAGGATCGAATTTGGCTCAACGGCAAAGAGGAGGACATAACTCACCCAAGACTACAGTCCTGTCTGAGAGAGAGTGAGTCTGCCTTTTTCTTAATGTATTAAAACTATAAAGGACATCAGTAGGGAGTTGGAAAGTGTGTAGGCTACGATGTCATTTCTTTTTTTATTTTATTTTGTATTTAGTTCGACGGCTGGCACGGAAGAGACGTAACGATGAAGACCCCAGTTTGGATTCAACCGGGTTGTCACACAAAGTCCACATTTGCTCCATTAACAACTTCCCCACAGCTGCTGGACTCGCCTCCTCAGCAGCTGGATTCGCTTGTCTAGGTGAGAGTGTGTGTGTGTGAGCTATGTTTCGATGCATAGACTCTAGAGTATATATTTTTTATTGGGAACCCAATAACTGCTTTTCAGAATAGAATAAGAAAACTTTATGTTATGTCACTTGTGTTAATCAGTGCAAATTTTAGCATTATTTTAATTCAGTAGTTCAATTTTGTTATCCAGAAGAATAACATTGTGAACCTTTCCTGCTTCATCTCCCTCATGTTTAATAAATCTCCTCGTTATGTCACTTTCTTCTGCTCTTACGCCCCTTGGTTGTCCCTCTGCTTCAGTTTACACTCTGGCTCGGGTGTTTGGCGTAGAAGGAGAGCTGTCTGGGATCGCTCGTCAAGGCTCGGGCAGTGCGTGCAGGAGCATGTATGGGGGGTTTGTGCAGTGGATCATGGGGGACAAAGACGACGGGAAGGACAGTGTAGCCCAGCAGGTGGAGCCAGAGACTCACTGGCCCGAGCTCAGGATCCTTGTGCTCGTGGTAGGTCTGATTTAAAATGATAATGAAAGCTCTGGTGTGAGTCAGTCGTGTGCTGAAAAAGTTGTTCATGTAGAGAAAGTGTCTGTCCAGAAAATATGTGCTTCAATTCAAAACAAATAAAAACCTGCATGAGGTGTGATTTCATGCACTTTGTCTCAGGCCAGTGCAGAGCGGAAGCCAGTAGGCAGCACCTCCGGGATGCAAACTAGTGTACAGACAAGCTGTTTATTAAAGGTACTTTGCTCACCCTCTACTGCACGTTTCACCATGTTGTCGTTACTGTCACTTAAACACAACTGACTGATACTCACAAAAAGGTTTATGTCTGCAGCACCGAGCTCAGTCTGTCGTCCCGGAGCGGATGGTGGAAATGACGGATGCAGTGCGAAGGAAGGACTTCCCTGCGTTTGCCGAGCTAACAATGAAGGACAGCAACCAGTTCCACGCCACCTGCCTTGACACGTACCCTCCGATCTTCTACCTCAGCAGTGTGTCTCAGCAGGTCATCAGCTTGGTGCATCGGTACAACCGGCACTACGGGGAGACGAGGGTGAGCAGCAGCGTCAATACTTCATTACACACAAGTTTTGCACTAAAGAAAGCAAACTAAATGTTATTTTCTAATAGCTTCAGTTAATGAAACGCTTGAATTCTAATTTGGCTGCACTGAATGGCAGAAAATCCCGTTAAAGGATTATAAGAGGGACAGCGATGGGATTTTGAGGTGACGGAGGGACATCACGCAAATAGAAAATGCTTTCGGTTTCAGATCATTTGCATGTGGTTGCGTGTGCATCCTTGTACGTCCTTATTCTCAAGCTAAAAGTTTTCCTCAGTTCATGCAGAGGAATTTCAAAGATGGTGTAAAAAAAAGATGTGAAACTCGTGAGGGCTTTTTTTAAAACTGGGGAACAGGAAACTTTCAGTTTTTTTCTGACACTCGGTCTGTTTGTCGTCTCTTAGGTGGCCTACACTTTCGATGCCGGCCCCAATGCTGTGATCTTCACTTTAGAGCAACATGTTCCTGAGTTTGTCCGGGTGGTTCAGCATTTCTTCCCCCCAGACACTCACACAGAGGAGTAAGTTGACAGACACCTGACTTGCTTATCTTCACCACTACGTCCTCAACGAATTGCTGCCATATGTTCTAATGGATTTATGTTAANTTACAACTGCAGAGACTGTCGATGTTTTTAAAAGAAGGTTAAAGACGCACCTTTTTATTCAGGCTTTTTATTGACCTGAGAGTGAGAGTGTGTATGTGTGTATGTCTATGTGTGTGTGTTTGTGTGTGTGTGTCTGTGTGTGTGTGTGTCTGTGTGTGTGTGTGTGTGTGTGCATGTGTATCAAGTCAAGTCAAGTCAAAGTTTATTTATAGAGCACATTTAAAAAACGATCACAGTCGACCAAACCCTGTACGTAAAGAAGACATAATTTATCATAAACACGATAATAAAAACAAAATGCAAAGTATACTAAGAAGTCTTTAAAAACAAAATGTAGAATAAGAGAAAGTAAAAGAGAATAAAAAAGAGATAGAAAAAGCCAAGATTGCTTGCCTAGCTGGGAGTGAAAGCCAAGGAGAAAAGATGTGTTTTTAGGAGTCTTTTAAAATTTTCTATTGACTGTGCTGCTCTAAGCTGGACAGGTAGGCTGTTCCACAGCTTAGGGGCTGCTATTGAGACGGCTCTGTCTCCTCGAGCCTGGACCGAGGTACTGCCCAGAGCAGCTGGTTTGTTCACCTAGTAGTGGTGTGCAGCTGTACAAGCTCTGATAAATATGGTGGTGCCAAACCATTTACACATTTAAAAACAATTAATAATACTTTAAAGTGGATCCTAAATTTGATGGGCAACCAGTGCAAAGATGCAAGGACAGGAGTAATGTGCTCATGCCTTTTCATTTTCCAGTCAGCAAGCGGGCAGCAGCATTTTGGACGACCTGCAAACGGCGCAGTGCCGTCTGGTCAAGGCCAACAAACAATGAGTCGCAATAATCCAAGCGTGAAGTAATAAAAATATGAGTCACTGTTCCAAAGTCATTTCTTGGAAGATATGTCTTTGCTTTTGCCAACAACCTTAATTGATAAAAGCTCATTTTGACTATGTAGGAAATTTGTTTCTTAAACCTAAATTTACTTTAAAAAATGACTCCCAGGGTTCCTTGCAGGATGACAGTAGGACATAAGGGTGCCAATGGCGCTGTCATTTCCATCCAGCAGATTTTGCTGACCAAATAAAATGATCTCAGTTTTGTTTTTGTTCAGAGACAGAAAGTGTGTGTCCATGGAAGGTTGTTTTTTTCTTTGACAATGTTTTTAAATGCTGTAAAGCACTTTGCGTTGCTCTATTGAGAGAGTATTGAGAGGTGCTGTATAAATAAAGTTTGATTTGATTAAAACTTTTTTATTTTTTTACATTTATCAAAAATGAAGAACTGAAACCTCATTTACAAAAACAGACACTTGAACAGAGACCACCTGTGAATTGTTT